AAGACCTTAGGCACCGATGTGGTATCGGCCAAAAACTCTTTAATGCTTAAATAACCTGAAGGAGAAGGAGAATAAGTAATTGGACAGAGTAAGGGTACTTGTGCCAAGTCAATATTACCTGGTGTCTTGGGGCAAGAGCCCTATTTATAGACCTTAGGTGGGAGCACTTTGAGTTATAGTTCGATGTGGGACTGTGGACATTGCTCCAAAAGGCTGTCACGTGTCCATGCAAGAGATAGTTTGAGAAGTACCTTCGGCAGTCTGACTCGGTAAGTAGGTTAATGAAGGTCAATCCTGCAAATGGTAACTTTGTGGGCTTCAGTGATTGGGCTGGGCCTCATGGGCCTTTGTTTGATGTCACGTATCTTGGTGAGAGGGTTCGGTCAGATATGGTACAAATAGTAGTTAAATATTCTTTAAAAAGATATTTTGAATTGGGGAACAATCTTTTTGCAGAAAGGTCGTAGTAGATTTAATTGTAAAACTTCATGTTGGGTTAGGACCAGTGGTGAAGCCAGGATTTCATATGTGTGGGGGCCTCTTACAAAATATAAAGAATCAAAAATTCGAACTCATAATACATACAAAAAATAGTGTATATATATCACATATGTCAAGAATTATATCACTTATTGGTTGCAATCATAATTATTCTCGACAAAGGGATAGACAAATACATTCTAAGCAAGAAAAATTACAAGAGATAGACAAAAAGTAGGGATTTAGAAAATATTTTTAAAGCTTTTTCCCCATTAAATCCAATAGAAAGGAAAAAAAAAATCAAAATTTCCCAAATTAAAAACGGGGGGTTTTACTAAAACACCCAAAATGGGGGCTGAAATTATAAAAAAACCCAACACCCAAAACACTTTATAAACACACTCAAAACCTATCATTACACACACTCAAAACTCATTTATAAACACACCCAAAAAATATACAATTGTTGATTTTGGGTGTGTTTCTATGTTTAAATAGTGTTTGGGTTTTTTTATAAATACATGTCTAGAATTGAATTTATTTAT